GGTGACAACGTAAGCCAGCGCGCGTGGTCCTCTGAAGGACAGGGGAAGGTGGAATAAGAGAGAATAACTCCTCAGAACACTCGCCGTGGTACAGACGATAGAACGCGCTTAGTGACGCCACGTCACGGCGTAATTGAAGAGGCTCGAGGTGTTTAGACACCTCCTCATCACCTATGATGCGTATTGCGCGCCGCTGTAACCTATCCAAAGCATCGAGCAAGTACTTGGCGGAGCCATCCCAGAGGTGCGAGCAATATTCCACGCAAGACCGAACCTGCGTCTTATATAACAAGCATAGTTGCTCGGGCGTGAAAAACGCCGCACCTTGTTCAGGACTCCGAGTTTGCGTGAGGCTGTTTTTATCACACTTTCGATGTAATTTTTTGGATTTAAGTCACAGCGAATCTCCATACCGAGCATGGTGATACTGCTCTCTAGCTCCAGTGTTGTGCCCTGAAGAGAAGGACATAAAAGGAATGGCGACGTTTTTGCCGTGAAAGCGCAGACCTGGGTTTTCTTAGCATTGAACTCAACCAAGTTCTTGGTACCCCATTCAGAAATGTGGTCCAAAGCCTGATTGAGTTCAATGACAAGATTCTCCCGTTTCTCCTTGGTTACCGCCTGCCCAGCCGCTGCTTGTCCGAGATACCCCGCATGCACTGTACTGTCGTCTGCATAGCAATGAATATTCCCAAGAGGAATTAGGTCATTGATATGCAGCAGAAAGAGAGTGGGGGATAGGACGGAGCCCTGGGGAACGCCGGCATTCACTGACATGAACCGCGAACTGCTACCATCCGTAAGGACACGAATTCTACGCTCATGCAGGAAGTCAGCTACCCAAGAACAGAACTGGGCCGGCAGACCGTATGCTGGAAGCTTGGAGAGAAGGCTTTTGTGCCAGACCCTGTCGAATGCCTTGGCAATGTCTAGGCTGATAGCCAACGACTCGCCCCGCTTGTCGATAGCCTCACCCCAGATATGAGTCAAGTACGCTAGAAGATCACCCGTCGATCGTTTCGGTCTAAAACCATATTGACGATCATTAATCAGGGAGTGATCCTCTAGGTAGCGGGTCAGATGGTTGTTAAGGACCTTTTCTAGGACTTTACATAATACTGAGGTGACTGCTATTGGCCGGTAGTTTGCCGGGTCTGAGCGATCCCCTTTTTTGGGTACCGGTTGCACGTTAGCATTTCTCCAAGTCTCCGGCACACGCCCCAAAGAATACGAGCACTGGTAGAAACGCGTGAGCACGGGAGACAACTCCGCTGCACATTTTTTCAATACTACTGCTGGGATGCCATCAGGTCCACTAGCTTTCCGGACGTCGAGTGATTGCAATTCGGCACGAACCTCACGCTGCCTGATTTTGATATCAGGCATCATTGTGCCACAATGAGGTAATAATGGTGGCAGTGCATTGCAATCATCGATTCGGGAGTTAGCCGCAAAGAGTTTTGCCAGTAAATCGGCTTTCTCCTGCGGCTTATGAGCTAGTGTTCCGTCTGGACATCTCAGAGGTGGCAGCAAGGGCTGGCAGAAGTTCTTTTGCACGGCCTTGGCCAAACGCCAATAGCTACGGGAGCCCGTAGGATGCGTTATAAGTTCGTGACCAACACGTGCAACGCGCTGGGCATCCGCTCTGATGTATGCCTTCTTACAGGCCTTGGAAGCAATATTGTAGGCTGCTTTTAGTGAATCGACCCCGGGATCCTTAAGAGCGCGGCTTCTGATCCAAGCACGATATGCCGCTTGCTTACGCGAAGCAGCTTCAGCACAGTCGTGATTGAACCAGAGGTTACGTGTGCCCTTACTGATGAGATTGGAATGAGGAATATAGTATTCCATACCCATTACAATCTCCTCAGTAATAGCAACGGCGCTGGCCGATAGGTCCTTGTCATTGAAGCAGCGCTGCTTCCAAGGGACGGACGCAAAGTAGTCACGCATACCGTCCCAATCTGCTGACCCATAGTGCCAGATCCGGCGTTTTACCACCGTTGGACGCGGAGGTTTAGCCTGTGGCGCTTTGGCAGATATCAGGCAGTGATCTGAAGAGCCCAGGGGGGCTCCTACCACAACCTGATAGCCCTGTGGATGGGTCGTGAGCAGAAGGTCCAGCAATGAAGGCGCTTGACTTGAAATATCTGGAATCCTGGTGGGCTGATCAACCAGTTGCTCCAAGTCATGCGTGAGAGCGAACGCGTGAGCAGAGATCCCTGCATGGTCAGTTTTCGAGGAACTTAACCACAAATTGTGGTGAGCATTAAAGTCCCCCAAAAACACCAATTCTGCATTGGAAAATTGCTCCTGCGCGTCATCTGCTGCCCGACTAAGATGTTCGAAAAGTCGAGTTGTCTCAACATCACCAGTATGGGATCTGTAGAGGCACACGTAGACTCTGGCCTGGGGACCTGAGTCGACGTGTACCCCCAATATGGAGAAGGTGGGATCTTCCAAGCAGCGGAGACGGCGACAACAAACATCCGCCCGAACATACAGGCATACACCGGCTTTCGCTTTGAAGGACTCTTCAAGCACGTAGCCGGGATAGTTAAGGTAGCCTGTGTCAGCAGGCGGAAGTATTTGTGTCTCCGTCAGGAACAACAATGCTGGCCGTGCTGTCTCAAGGTGGTGGTGGACAGCATTGAGGTTAGAGTGGAGTCCGCGTATGTTGCAGAACTCGACCTCAAACAGCGTTGAAGGCGTGGGGGTGTGCACTGCTGAACGTCCAAACTTTGTTTTTAGGAGCTGCCATTATGGAAGTAAAAAAAAGAGACGTGAAACGAGTAGACTTTGTCGCGACAAGACCGGGTAAATTAGGAAGGCATGTTTCCCCGAATGATTGCCTGCAGAGGATATACGCCGACCCGCCGGACGGAAGGGCCCCCGCACCCTCCCGGAAGTGGCCGCCGGGACCCCACGCCCCGGTCACCAACCGGCACGACGGTCCACCCCGAGATTATGCGTGACATGATAGGGCAGCCTCGCGAACTGGTTAGGAACGCTCGGGCCCCTGTACTGTGCCACGGGCGGCCAGCGGGACAGCCGTTTCTACGGGTCTCCCTGGCCGGCGGGTCGATGCAGTCCTCCCGGCATCGGTTCGACGGATGCCTCGCCCTGGACCGAATCCGTCGCGACAACCTCCACTCGAGCCCTGGTTGTACGCTGGCTGACCCCGAAACGCGCGAGAAGCACTTCACGGGTTTTTCACCATGCGCACGGTGGTAGCAAACCAGGCGGGTGTTAGGCACCCTACCACCAGAGGAGCGGATGGAAGCTCCGATATCCCTTAGTCGCCTTTTACGACACCCACGGGAAGAAAAGGGGCGGTGAGTTGTATTCTTTCTCCGTCACCGCACGGATAAAAACCTTACATGAAAGGAGTCACTGACCAGATTGGGAGGATTCTGAAGCGTGCTTCAATCAATACATACTTCAAGCCGCCAAAGAAGATCAACCAGTTTCTACGACCGGTCAAGTGCAATATACCCTTTCAAGTTGCTGGTGTCTACAAACTTGAATGCGACTGTGGGCTCTCCTACATCGGGCAAACAAAGAGGAGTATAGGGACTCGCGTAAAAGAACATATCGCAGATATGAAACATAGGCGGGAAAATAAATCTGCAGTGTGTGAACATGCATTAGGGGGACCAAACCACTACATTAGATTTGATAGACAACAGATCCTTGCAGCTGAGCGGCGGTTCGTTCCTCGAATGATGCGCGAGGCTATTGAGATTAAAAAATATCCAAATTTCAATAGGGAAGATGGTTGGTATATACCACCAGCTTGGGAACCTATTATACAGGAGATAAAATCCCAACCCCGAGCACACACTGCAAGACCATCAGATATAATTTAACATAAGAAGGAGATAGAAAGCCTCTCTTGAGTTTGTTTCGCCGGTTCTTCTCAGGAAGGTCTCCCAATTTTGGAACCGGTGGTAGTTTACGGTAGTTAGGGTCAAATAAATAAACTCAAAATTACAAACAAGAATTTTAAATAAAATACTTTATTAAGTAAATTAAATAATAAATTCATACATAGACAATAAAAATTTTAAAAATCTTCCAATGAAATAACCGAACGCTCAATATAAGTCTTTCGAAGGTAGCTCGACAATTTTAAATAAAAAATCATTATTCTGACGATGCAGACCTGAAAAGGCTGCGAAACGTCAATAAATAAATAAAGTTTCGTGCATTAACCCGTAAAAACTAGTTTTATATAATTAAGTTGCTCCTGTATTATTTTTTTGTGTGTACAGAAAATATAAATAAATAAATAAAGATTTTGGGAGTTTACTCCTTAAGAATCGATTTGCATATATAAGGGGCCCGGTATGAGAAAAATGTGAGGAGTAAAATCTATCGATGAATGACATTAATGACCTCGTTACGTTTTTGTGAGCAACCTCATCTGCGCACCTTTCACTTTTAGCCATGGCATAAACATTAATTTGTCACAAATGTCAATAAAATAAATAAACTAAAAATAGATAAAATCGGAGCAAAATTAATGAAAACAAATAAATAACAGAATATAGAGAAATGCCGGTAAGTGTCCAGCACTCTGGAATAGTGATTTTCAGTACAGATGAAATTATAATACATATTTACAAAATGGTGACTAGTGTGTGATATTTTTGAAATTGTGTGTTTCCAGAAATACATAATAAAATATATGATGAATATCGCTGATATTAGATGATAAAATGTGTGACATGATAGTCCTGAGGTATCTCTACTTGTTACCGACTTTTTCGAACTTGATTTTGTTTTGTGTCTGTTCAAAGACAATCGTTTTTAGAGTGTAAACTCCGGTCGTGCATCGAAGCTGACACACACAATTTTTTTTTAATTTAAATCAGTAATTTCTATGATTGGCGCGTTCAACCAAACAAACAAAGGAACTCCTCAGCTTTATAATATAAGTTAAGATAAATATAGTTTAGTTACAAGTTGTATTTATAATTTTTCTTTGTTTGTTCCAGAGCGAGATATGTTCGAGCGCGCTTACTGACGTCATCCACGCTGTCATCAATGGAACGGATGGTTGCCTCTTCTGCTTCGGACACGCAGGACTAGGTACCACTGAGATACACTCAGCTTTTATTGTCACTAACAATCGAAACAAAAGAAATGCTATGTCTGCCATCCTCAAGCTAAAACGCGGCTAGATAACAAAACCAACTTTTGAGATATGGCCAAAAAACGGCGTGTAAAATTTAAATTATTGCTATTTTGTAACCATTCATCATATGACAGATTTTTAGACATAAACTAAAAATGATCCGAATACTTCTTAAAGGCAGATCGATAGAGAATTAAAAACTGTATAAGGTGCAATTTAAGACTTAAAAATCGACCACATGTCACTTAGCCGTCACTTTGAGCACGGCACACAAGTCATAATCATAGATTTTTTATTTTGCATAACTAAAGTGGCAATGCAAATAATGCTGAATAATTGAGGAACTCGATAGCGCAGGTGGCTAGCGTGGTCGGCTACGAATGTTGAAGTTAAGCAACTTTCGCAATGGTGGGTCATTGGATGGGTGACCAAAGATCTTCTATCTCGAGTTCTCCTCCGTGCTTCGGAAGGCACGTTAAGCCGTTGGTCCCAGCTGCATCTGCAATCGTTAGCAACCGCCAATCCGCATTGGGCCCGCGTGGGGTGGGTCATGGCCCAATCTCCATATCCCGTCCATAGGGAAGGCCTGTGCCCCAGCAGTAGGGACATTAATAGGCTGATGATGATGAATGCAAATAAGCTAGCTGCGATTGACAATTTCATTTTTATATTAATTGCATGCTTTTAGTATAACTAGAGTGGTGATTAAGCACAAGATCTGCCTTATGTTAAGATTACGGATCTGTCCTAGTATTTGCTTCAGCCTCTGAACTATCATGCCGGCTTTTTAATAGGCTATTCGCTTTTGCTCTATGTAAACTTGATATCAGTCTGTACTTTTCATTCCTTATAAAGCGTGATATGGAAAGACTGTTGGCAAGCTTACAAATATCTAATACGAATAGCCAAGCGCGCAACCAACCTTTTACAAACATTTTCAACGATGATCGAGTCCTTAAGTGAGCAACTATTGACATAATTTTTTCGTACATTAAGCGAATACTACTGAGTTAATATTCTGAAACGGTAAAGTGTAAAAAATAAAAAGGATGGCCAATATTTTAGTCTGATGGCATTGAAAACTTCAAGAATTAAGTAATACAAAGCGTTTAATACGAACGGACACTGCTGAAAAGCGGTTATGCTATAATCTCTGATGATGATGATGATGCTCAGAACAAATACGATATATTATGACTTCAAGGTTATTGAGTTACACTCCAAACCTAATTGGTCTATCTCAGTCTTCCCCCTTTTGACACATAACCACAGGGATACCGTGACGTCATCCATTTAAATACGTATTCGCAAAAGTTTCGTTGCCATAATGAAAACGCGAACTCTCAAGTCTGTTTGCTCTTCAGGTCGTTGTTTATAAAACTTTCAATTAAGCTCCGGGACTCTTTCCATTCCTATGCAAATTCGAGACTGCCTGGTTCAGAGGTTGCGACGCGAAGATTGGCTTCGCGATATCTGTGTAACGACAACGAGACAATATTTACTGGTTCCCGATAGTCTTTTGTTTGATGAAAATCATAAGACCAACGAGTTTTTAAGTTTTTCACAAAGTAAGAAACGTTCTTAAGAATATGGTGTCCAATTACAGCAACTTTCTTGAATAAAATGTATGCCGATTTGTAGCATCCTCATCTTCATTAACTATTTGGAGGAGTAAAGTATAAACTTAAGATTTTCTATTACTAAAAACTGAGAGTTGCTGACGACTCGGACAAAATATATTTCGGATTCAGGAGCCCGAATTGACACATTTTTAAATTGAAATATTTTTGGTGACAATTCGGATACCATCAAATTATTGAAGCTTTTATAGTCAGATAAGTTAAAAAGTATAATATCTATATGTATGTGGATTTTAGCACTTGTTTTCCTGTGTACTCTTAGTTGATCCATTCAGGGTACAGTGGAAGATAAATTTTAACCGCTGTATCCTTGGCCATGAAACTCGACCAAATTAAGATAACAGTCAAATTTCAAATATTTTTTCTCGTACGTGTTTTAGTGTGCATCAATATAGCCGATACTAGATACTAGTAGTTTTTAGCGTTAAAAATGGTCAATAATTGCTTCCCATTTGTTTCCTTTCCGAGACATAATTTTGCTTCCTCGATATTTCCGCCCTTCCGTTTATCCATCCATAGTTCAAAATTGCAAAGTGACTCTGATGTACCCAGATACCAGGTCAACATAATATATAACAAAGTTCGTCGTTAGTTTTCCAAACCATCAATTTTTATTTGATAATAATTGAAATGCATTCCCAACGTTTAGAGTAATGTAGCCAACTTACACTGTTCTATCGTGTATTACGAATATAATATTTTTCTCTTATAAACTTCTCGGAACAGGGTACGTCTAAGCGAAATAAGCCAGCTCTCTTGATAAATCCATTATCAAGTGGTTAGCATCTGCAAATTGAGTGAACTCGCACCGATCGGTTGCCGAAGGAAGTCGTGTAATCCTCGAGATCGCGATAAGACCTTCCCCCAACAATACCGTAATATTCCCTCATTATTCCTATTAATTCTCCAACAAATTAAGCCATAATCTTCTCCTACAGATTTATGTATTGTCGACTAATGTTTTGAACGTTTGCCGAGCTCAGAAAATCGAGACGTGAAAATCGCTTTCAATTCTACTCCGATATTTATGAAAAAGGCATATTAATTTAAATTTACTGATAAAGAAGTTAGGCACCTAGTTACTCGAAAAATGTTATACAGCGCCTAATTTTGTAGCAAGCAGATGTTTTCTTTGTGAATGTATGGGAAATGCTGTAATGCTAAATATATTTATTTTCTTAAAACTATTAAAACGCCCATCATGTACAGACGTACAAGTACAATAAGAAACACGATTGAGAAACAGTTAGCAACAGTTCGAATACTAATAAAAATTATATAAACATAGATTTTCACCTCCACAAATATATTTTGTTTTCAATCTGCCTTTTGCGCCGGTCCGTAACTTTATGCCTGTAAGTAGGTAGTGTACTTACTAGAGACAGTGAGCGGTTACCCCTACCCAGGGATTATGACTTTAAATGCAAATTGAATGAAAGCCTCGCAGATGAAACTTCGCGCCCAAAATCCTGCTAAAACCAAACTTAGCGGAACAAAGAGTAAACGGCTCGCCTCCACTGATAGATAACATTTCCCTTAATAAAAAAGTTAAATTTTTTATTTTTATTTTACGTTTTTTTATGAATAAGGACGGAAAACAGACAGAAACATAGGTTGTGTTTTTTCTCAGTAAAGCTAAATTTGCAAATCGATGGACATTCAGAAAGATTCAAAGAGAAATTCTAATAAAAAAAAAATGTATTCCAAGATCTATAATAATAACATTTCAAAGCGACTTCTTACTAACAGTACCTACATGTTTGTAAGGGCTGAATTCTCATGCAAAATATTCAATTGAGTTTATTACCATAAGACAACAATAATGCATAAACGAGTATATGAAACAGAGATTTTGAACTAATATTATTGTTCCTATATTTATTTGGGAAAAGGTCTAAAATTATAATTGGTAAAGATAATAGTAATTTATGTTATTTACGGTAATTTTGCCATGTAGGTACCTTGTTTTACGAAGTCCCCGATATTTCGGATTAATTTTATGTAATTATACTGTCTTGTTTGCCAGCTCCTCAAATGTACAAACGTAGCGTCTTATAGCTTGCCGCTTTCCGTGGACGCGAGCAATGTTTCATACATCGCTGAACTAACTGGCTGAATAATTTAAATCAAGTTTTAATTATAACCGGATTCTTACCTCCGGAACTATCGCGACGTGTAATAAGCAGGCGGATTTACGTTTAATCTAGTTTTCGCATAAATGGAGATCAACTCGCACATTTCGAGTTTATTTAATTAAGCATTTTAATTTGCGAGTTATTTTCGGTTATTGAATACTACTATAGAGTATGCAGGCGGGTAATATGTTTCTTCGCCACCCCTTTAACATAACAAAACAACACAGTATTTTGATTTATTTTCGTATATTTTTTTCCGCAGAAAAGAATTTGAAATTATAAATATGTGCAAAGACTTATGTATATTACATCATCATCATCTCCTTATTAATGTACTACTGGGGTACAGGCCTTCCCTATGGATGGAATAGGGAGCGCGGGCCATGACCCACCACGCGGGCTCAGTGCAGATTGGCGGGTGCTAACCTTAGATTAAAACAAAAAGGGTAGATGCGGCACTAGCCTCACAAAAGTGATTCGCATAAATTGTGGTCCACGACCCTAATCGCTTTAGTCACAACTTGACATGCAAACGACGTACATGTGAACGCCAAAAAGAAATATTGCTAATATTTTGTATTTATATGATAAAACAATGCCATTTTAAAAAGTGCTCAAATTGCTCAAGAACTTAAAATAAAACTGCTATAAAATATATTTTTTCATAAAAATTGCTGTTTGTTTTGAATCCTATTCGGTAGTGACGTCGATCTCTCCGTCCCGTTCGCGCTGCCGTGGGATCAGTTTTTGTTTGATGCAAATATGAGCGTACTGTATCTACCCTTTTTGTTTTAATCTAAGGTGCTAACGATTGCAGATGCAGCCGGGACCAACGGCTTAACGTGCCTTCCGAAGCACGGAAGAACTCGAGATAGAAGATTTTTGGTCCATCCATCCAATGAGCGACCACAAAGTTGCTTAACTTCAACGATCACAGCCGAACGCGCTAACCACATGCGCCATTGAGCTCCTCCTCCTATAGATGCACGCAATACCAAAAATATCACTGGCACCGTTGCCTACGCTAACTCAATCCCCTACTTCGTGGAGTCCTGGGGGCCATTCGCCTAATGGGATTGCTTTGGAAAACGCTATCGCTTACGATTTCATTTTGTTATTTCTGACCGCCGAAGGTTTTCTAATACCTCTTGCTCATTTTCTTTAATATTGTTATTAACAATGCAAAAGAAAAAAAAAGAACGCGAGGCATTTGTAAACCTCAGGCGGCTAGAAATAACAAAATGAAATCGTAAGCGATAGCGTTTTCCAAAGCAATCCGGTTATGCGATTGGCCCCCTGGAGTCTTACTCACTGGCAAAAACACAACACCACCAACTAGTAGTGATATTTTACTGTTATCTTCTTAAGGTGGAGTGGACCTCTGATAATCTCAAGAAAATATAACTCGGAAAAATTCCACGCGGACCAGGTAGCAGACGGGACTCGAACCCGCACCTCATAATAAAGAATATATCGCAGAAATAGTAATTATAGTTTTTTATTAATAAAAAATATAACTATAATTGCTATTTCTTCTTTCAAATGTTTAATACTTGTGAAAGTATTCAATTGACATTGTCGGTTACCTATAATGCGAAGAGATGGCGCTGCCTTGCAGCTTAAGAATGGCTAGAAGAATTTCGACGCGGTCCGTGAGGGCCGCGGTAGCATAATTAGTCAGTGCATTCGCCCGGATTGCGAAGGGTGCGGGTTCGAGTCCCGTCTGTTGCCTGGTCCGCGTGGATTTTTTTCTAGTTATATTTTCTTTAGATTTAAACATTAAGCAGTTACATGCTTTAAAATAATAAAAAAATATACCTCTGATAATGTTAAAAAATGTTACAATGTAGTTATGTCTTTTTTGCCCAGGTAAATCCTATACAATGATGGGGCGACCTGACTCCACCGCAGCATTGGGCGCAATACCGTGCGCCATATCGTGGCTGTTCCGTGGGATAGCCGAGCAGAGGCATAAATGCGGCACTCGCTTCTCCGTCAGGGTGTCGGCGGTGGAACTGTGCACGAACACCAATCAGATCAGGGATCTGCTGGCACCCTATCAGAATGGTAAGTTTGAGCGAAAATGAAGAGTTTTGATCATTGCAATGACCGTTTATTTCTATTGTAATTGAAATAATAATAATAATCTTTATTGAAACATAAAACATTTGTACAGAAACACAGTTAGCGTTAACATCCGCAGTAGTCAAAGACTGTGTCGCAGATGTAAGCACCCACCTCTGAACAGACGGGCGTTTCAAACATACTATATGAATATATAAGATATAGGTTTATGAAACGTAAATAGGTAAATTTTATATAAACTATCTGACCAAAACTTGCTTCAAGGCATGTTCTGCAGTCTGCTGGGTTAATAAAGCTTTACACAATATCGAAAACTTATTAAAGTAAAGATATGTTTTTTCGAACTACGATAGCTTTCAATAATAATTAAAGGAAAATAAAAAATATATACTATGTTCTGGTTACTAAACCAGAACTAACATGTACTAGTTACTTATCATAAGAACAATGTACAAGAAAAATTAAATTATTTGCATAAGATCTAAAATCTAGCAGATTTTTATATGTTGTGGCATCTTAGGTTTTTAATAATAAAAAACTTATTCTTCGCATTTTCTTTTACCAGACTCAGAACAGTCCCCTGGGGTATACCTTCGAGACGATCCACTATTCGGAACGCACTTGCAAAATCAAGCAGAGCTGCGCGTACACAGCCCCGAGAAGGCAGCTTTCTATTTGGACGCAGCGCTAGCGATGCGTGGCGCACGTGAAGAAGGGAAGGACAGTCATTTGCTGTACACCCTTCATGTATACCAATACAGCGTTGGAGGCAAAGGCGCCGGTAAGATAATAACTTTAGAAAAGATAATGATATTGTACTCTTAAAAAAAATACTAATAGAAGGCAAAGTAATACAACATTTAAAAATAAATCTTAATATATATAAATCTCGTGTCACAATGTTTGTCCTCAATGGACTCCTAAACCACTTAACCGATTTTAATAAAATTCGCACACCATGTGCAGTTCGATCCAACTTGAGAGATAGGATAGTTTAAATCTCAAATTATAGTCGCAATTTTAATTTATTACAAATTTTCGTTTTGGGCGGTACGAAGTTCGCCGAGTCAGCTAGTATAATATAAATAAATAAATACAAATATTTCCAACACTTACACCAATTAGCCTAGCCCCAAGTAAGTACTGTAAGGAATGTGTTATTGGATGCTAGTGTAAAATGCTAGTGTGTGTAGGATAGAATACATATATAAGTATATTTATATAGAAATACATAGTAAACATCCATGACTGTGGTACAAATACTCGTCCCCCACCGGGATTCGAACCCGAGACCTCTCGAGTGGGCGACACCATGAAACGTAATTATAAATGTTAAAATAAACTATAGACTTGACTTACTCTAAGGCCCTAATGAAGTAAACAGAGAGAATATTTTGTTTATTTTTGGCTTTTTAATACCGAAAATAAAAGTGTGTTTTTAATTTATTAAACTATTCATTTATTTTTTAACATATTTATTTTTTAGGTTGTTGTGTTGTATATGTTGGGGATCATTTTTTTTCGTTTTTATAATATTCTTGAATTTTGTCAATGTTAGCAAAAAAATCGAAAACAGCAATTATTGTTAATTAAAATTAATATTTCTTTTGGTTCACAGTTGCTGGAGGACGTAGCCGCCTGCATCTTATCGACCTGGGGAACTCTGAACGGGGTAAAACTAACGGTGGGATTCCATTATCCGGCTTAGGAAATATTCTCCTAGCTATATTTAACGGGCAAAGGCACTTACCGTACAGGGATCACAATCTCACACATGTCTTGAAGGAATGCCTCGGATCACTCACATGCCACACTGCTATGATAGTACATGTATCGCCAAATGTACAAAATTATTCAGATACATTAACTACTTTACAATTAGCTTCAAGAATACATAGACTAAGGCGAAGAAAAGTAAAATACTCGTCCAATAATAATGCGGGCTCTGGAGGAAGTTCTGGCGAAGATGCTTCGAAACCTAGCAGCAGTGAACCAGACCCATCAAGTAGTGACTTATCTGCAGATACTGTTATTTATGTAGGACCTTTAGATGACGCTACTGACGGAGAACATCCACCTGTTTATATACCACATATTAACTCCGGTGACAACAGATGTGTTTTGAGTAAAGCTTTGAGAGGCTCCGCCGCTGAACAAAGGCACAAGTCATCACTGTCGAAAGTCATTGAAGAAAAAAGTCCCGTACATAAACCACACGCATCTCCTAAAGCATCACCTTTAAAAACTGCTGTACCAAGTACAAATACACCAAAATCATCACCTGTCCATTCGTCCAATTCAAAATCAACGCCCATCAAAAAATCTTCTCAAAAACAGTTTTCTGAAGATGGTAAAGGTACAAGTGATGAACAGTGGATAGACGGACCAAGAATATCAAAATCAAAATTAGTAGAAGCACGCCACATTGTAAAAGAACCCCAATGTAAAAAACGAGAGACTTGGATTGACGGTCCTATGCAAGAACCTAAACACTCCTTACATTTTGACCCCACAACAGTTCAGCCAAACCCTGTACCACTTCAGATTGGTATCCTAGGTGCACAAGGAAATGAAAGTATCGGTTATGGTTATATGGACAGTCACAAGAAAAATATGATACGGAAGTGGGTCGAAAATCAAACATCACAAATACATAGATCTAGACACAGTTCACCCAGTCACAAAGCCAATGTGTCTAATAAAGATCCAGTTTTAAGAATGTCTGAAGAAGAAGTAGCTGCATTAAGGTTGGAACCTATAATAAGAGATGCAGTAAGAAGAATACATATTGAGGAATCTACCATAAGAACTGGACTCAAAGCTGGATCTAAAGGTATAGCTATAGAAGAGGAAAATCTAGGTCCACCGTTTTATGATAGAAATTCACAGCCCCAAAAAAGAGAGAGTATATCTAAACCGGCTGTGAAAACTGAACCAGACGAAGATGACGATAGTGAAGAATCGGCAGAAATTCCCCCGGCATTACCAATAATGCAACCTAGTAGTTTAAACAGTAGAGAAGTATCAATGGAGAGCTTAGATAGTAAATATAAAGAGAGATTAAGAATGGATGATGAATTAGTTTCGAATCATAGCAGAGATATTGATTCTCAAGGAATAAGTAAAGGGCCAATTGATGATGATGATGAAATTTTAGAAATAATTGAAGTAGAAGAACCCCTCGAACCAGTCCCTATGCAGGACTGTTGTCTTCAAGTTACAGAAGAAGACATTGCATTTTGCATGGGATTTTCAGAAAACCCTTTGCCGGAGGTTGATCAAGAAGATGACGACCATCCTCTTAGAATCCTTAGCCAAGAAAATTTAACAGTGGCTTCAACATTTACCGATACATTGTCATTATATAGTGAAGTTGAACGACAAATTAGAAATGAGGCCTATCTTAGACAAACAATGGGCTTTTATGTCGAAAACTTTAGTTGTGAACCAATTGGTGACATGAATCCACATCAAAGCTTACAATCATCTAGATCAAGGATAGATGAAATAATAGGTTTAGCGGAATTATATGGCTCTCGTCGAATATTAGATAATAATGAGTCGTCAATAACTAGAACAATTGCGCCTCAATTTCAATCATTGTCTCTGTCCAACGTTCGAGATACCGAAGAATATCACGGAGACGGTTCGGTATACAGCGAACCGGCATACAGGCCAAGTGACAAAATTTGTGATAGTTGTAGAAGATCCATGTCTCGACCTGGGAGTGCGATAGGAGATTGTGCATATCAAGATTTGGATGTAACTCATAACGATTGTTATGGCCCTTTTGAGAGATATAGGGGAAACGATATTACTGATGCAAGGATAGCATCATTGCGACATCCAGACGGTGCATCAGACCCAAATTTACGAGAAGAAAGGAGAATTCCTGGTAGTGGAGCACCATCTACGACAACTTTTCGGGAGTTAAAGTCCAATTTACACTTAGAAGTGACCCCACCAGTCGTGACCACAGAACCACGCTTAGATAAAGTTGAAAAAGGAGACAGAGGCATAGCTCGTGTTGTAGCGAGTTCCAAGCCGGACGGATACGACAGCGGTCATGAGTCTACGCCTCGTACGGGGAAACACAGTCCAGCAGCGACTTCTCGGCGTGCTGAATCAGGTTACGACTCAGTACCCAGAGATTCTGATGCATCTTCCTTAGACTCATATCCAACAAGACGAGCAGCAGTAGCAAGAGCGCACGCTAAGAAACACACTACTGCTAAATACAAACAACACAGCGACCGATCGTTTTGCTCCTGGCTTAGAAACCCTTTCACATGTAAATACGCTGATACAGACCCTGAAATTAGCGACTTTTAAGACGACTGTTTATATTATCACAACAAATGTTTTACTCTATGTAAAATTTTAAATAATGTTTACGTATCATTAAGCTACGTTACCGAATTTAATCTGGAGACTGTTTTTGTAGGTACTCTAGATATACTCGTATTTATAATAGCTTGGGCACTTATCCAATGAGGTTACCACTGTATTTTTCTAAACCTAATGAAAGGCTTCTATATAGTTTCACTGCTCTAATTTTTTAGTGTAACATAGTAATATTAGGTAAATGTTACAGTTTTGTAAATACCGAAAGTGTTATGCAACGAACCTCAATGTAATAATTGTGTTTAGGTAATACATAATAATATTATATCAATGACTCTTGCTCATTTTGTACTTTTATACTATCAGGAATGGATCTTTTCTTTTGTTTTGTAAGAGTTTATGTAACATCAGCGAAAATGTTGTTATAGCTTTATTAATAATAAAAAAAACTGAAAAGAAAAGATGCAGAGTCTTCCTCCGTCTTCCCAGCTGTCTATGCCATATCGATGAAAAATGATCGCTATATTTTCTACTAATCTTTCTGAATTTCACTAACCTCTGGACTGGAGTTTTCTACTTCATTGCTCTCTCTCTTTTTGGATAAATATAGTAAAATTTGTATGATAGTTTCATTTTCTATTCATACTGTATACTTCCGAATGAGAATGTGGTGATGTGATAACGTAATTTATTTATTGACAAAACGTGTTTTAGTACTAAGACTGTTGTCTCATTGGCCATATGTTATATAGCTTTAATATTTTGATATTGTGACTACAAAACTATTTCGATATCGGCCTGTCCTTTTGTACATAACATGAAAATAACACCCGATTGCAATCATTATGGCTTTATGAAATGTTGGTGACTCAGTTATCGCTTTATATTGTCGATGTTCTGTTATTTATTATACTATTAATATTATAAATATATATATATCCAAAATTTTACTATGCGTTCGTATTAGTTCACAATAAATTGTTCAATTTCAAATGAAGTTTTCTTTCATGATCCAAATCATTATTTTTATCCACGTAGGATTCTAAGTACCTTTTTTCCTTTTTTTCATATTTTGTTAATTTTGACAGAAGAAATTAATGTATGCGTACTTTTATTTAAAGCAACATCTTTCTTTTAAAATCTCTAAGGAATCACAGACAGGTTGCAACAGTAAAAGCTGAACATAACTAAATCGTTTATAGCAAAAACCATGAATAAATAAAGAATCTCGGAACTCTCCATCGCCATTGGGGTTGAATCGCTGAATCTTTTGGGATATAAACTTTTTTCCCTTCATGTAAAGTGGAAGTTCGAGCCCGTTAAGAGGGCAGGAAGGTAGAGGGGGGGGGGAGCCTATTATCTTTCATTTCTCTTGTAATTTAACATTCTCCGTACGCCCCACGAAAATCAAGCTATCAAATGCGACGTTTACCCTCTTCTAGTGGGGTGACAACTTTTTTCGCCAAAATCTCCCAATAATTTGTTAAAGTGGCAGCTGCTTAGCCCATAACGCTTATCGAGTGCTAAAAAAGATTCCTCCTTTATGTTTTTACGTCGTTAGGAAGTTGGGAGGGGAAGCCGATTGAGCTTCAGGTGCTTTTGGATTAGTGAGACTTACGGCTGTTTCCTGCTAACCTATCGAGAGATTAATGGGAATAATTTAAAGTTCCACGTCACAAAAAATCCAAATTGATAAGTTTCCAATGCCGATATTATTGATTGCTTTTTAAGTTTCATATTATTATGTGTGACAAAAGCATATAAAACTCCTGTTCATCGAAACAGTGCCAACATTATAGTAACTTTATTTTAATTTATTTATTAAGGATACAAATTAGAGGAGCTCGATGGCGTAGGTGGTTAGCGCGTTCGGCTGCGATCGTTAAAGTTAAGCAACTTTCCCAGTGATCGGTCATCATTGGTCATTAGTCCCGGCTGCATATGCAGTCGTTAGCACCCGCCAATCCGCACTGGGCCCGCGTGATGGGTCATGGCCCAATCTCCCTATTCCATCCATAGAGAAGGCATGTGCCCCAGCTGTGGGGACATTAATAGGCTGATGATGATGATGATGATAACGATTAAGAATAAAAACAGTTATTCAATGTAAAATGAAGACTAACATGTTATCGTTAAAGTACATATTAATGCAACCAAAAAAAGATCAAATGGCCAATAAGCACGCACTAGTTTTTTGGTTGTCATAGTTATGGCTGCAATACAGACATGAGGTAATTTGGACAAAAAGACTTCGTAGTGACCCAACGCAAAAACTCTAGTGAAAAGGACAATGTTAAATTTGGCCTAAGAACCAACACCAATTTGGAATTTTTGATAATTCTTACTATATTTTTTGCGATAATTATCAGATTTTGATTGTCACGGACACTTCCAGTTAAGTAAGCCATATTAAAAGTTAAAAAATAATCTAAGACTACCATTTTATGTGTATAATCTATGACAGCGCTGCAAACAAAACACTCTTCTTCCTAATGCCGGCACTTCACTTGGCTATTCGTGTTTGCATCGTGTTTGCTTTTTGAAAATTTGACATCAGTCTGTCCTTTTTATACCTTATGAAGCATGAGACTGTTGTCAAGTGAAGGGTCGGCATAAAACTCGATACTCTGTGGTTGTGGGGCAGGCAGTTTGCATTCGTAGTAATCTGTGGCATTCGTGTATTCTCGTTTCGGATTACCTGTTATGTGTGTTTATCTGCGATGGTTTTTCCTTTAATTTTACTATTTCGGCTATCTAACATGCCATTGATGTTACCAAATAGCAGAGACCTTATTACCAAGTGCTAGAGAACCTGTGCCACAACATCCTGAGAGGATCATACTATCAAATTATTCAAGAGCACTTGATACACATTCACGCTGCATATTTACACAATATACAAATAAATACAATATACATTACGTGAAAAATAGTCAAAAAATAAGAAGCAAACTACAGTTTTTATTTTATTAATGATTTCTACCTAACCAAGTTTTTCCTAAAAGGTATTCTTTAAAATCGCACCGAATAAAAATGAATTAGTTGTAATATTAATTCAAATCATACTGAGTGTATACTAAGTTTAAAGGTTGACCTATGTTTCATTTATTATTAAATATAACTTCAAAAAAATATTTAGTTTTCCTGATAATTTAAGTTCTCAGAAGTGTCCGTCAATAACCTGTGTTTTTAAAGTCATTTACTTGCAATTTCGAACCTAGAAAATAATATTTCCTGATTGTTGGTTCTTAGGCTAACAATGTATGGACGCAGAACAATGTCCTTTAATCTGTCTTCCTATACCTGCGGTTCATGAATACAACTAACTGCCTGACGAACAGGCAACGGAGACTTATGCTCAGTTCGATAGAGACTATTGTTACCTTTGAGGCCACAATTCCACATCCTCATAACAACAGAATAGTCACCGAATAGGTAACATCTAAAATGCAACATGTATCCAGGGGGTCAATTGCCTAACGGGATTGCTGTGCTCCACTATCAGCAACAATTTCATTTTGTTATTTCTGACCCCCCAAGGTTTTCAAATACCTTACGCTCATTTTCTTTAATATTGCTATTACCAATGTAAAGGAGAAATAAGAAAATGAAATCGTAAGCGATAACGATAGTCATAGCCATGTCATTAGGCGATTGGCCTCCAGTAACAAGCTAGTTAATACATTAAATCTTAACAACGTTACACCGCCCAACAAATGAGCAAAGGAGACATTTAATAATGCCGACACTGTCACACAAAGGCAATAAGTACAAAATGCGGATAAAAATAATACAGGACCGGGAGTCGAACCGAGACGTGATGGGAAGACGAAATGCCGGATCGAACTGATACCTTCACAGCTAAAAGCGAACATAGACTTTAGCACTCAAACAATAGAGGCGTTAATTGCAGTGTTGCAAGAGTATTGTCTTTATGGTGTTATATATGTGGTTGATACGTGATATGCACAGAAAACTGAAGAAATAATAACGGTGGGTGTGTGCGATACGGAAAAGCCATTTGTTTTGACATTGTTTTTATTGCGTTCGGTTGAGTCACGTTTGGTAAGTTTCTGGGAGACTCATTAGTCTTTTCTGTCTCAAGGGGAAAGTATATCGGGCTAATAGTATTTTCTTGGAGAAGAGTTCAGGATTTTTATAGGTCCTTAATGACTGTGAAATCTCTATTAAATATTTTGAAAGGGAATAATAACAAAAGACCCTTTTTGTAGAACAATCCCGCCAAATAAAGCGTACCTTAGTATTTGTAAGTGAATATCGTTATTATTGCTACTTTGACAGAAAAATAAACATTAAGTCAAATAAATGAATTCTGAGCATAGCAATTACAAAAACATATTTATCTACGCTCATGTCGAAATATTCGAATTACGAATTTAAAGATGGTTTAACATAACTGGTAGCTGTATCGTTACCTTTTAATAATTATAGTGTTTTTTTTTTGAATAAATCTATTAGGCCATGATACATATTACTTATAGGCTTTACGCACACATACGTAGTTTAAACTTAATTTCCCGCGCTTCCCATACAATTTTATGCCGATCGTGTGTTGTTTTCGCAATTTCAAAAAAGTTTTACTAAATGCTCGTATATATTGTTTTAAACTTTCATGGTCACTAACATTATAGTAATATAAGTTATTTACGGGATTGTTACCATGTACCTTGTCCTTGTCCTTGTAAATATCGGAAACTCGCTAAAAACATGGTACATGATAACAATCCCGTAAATAACTTATATTACTATAAATGCTCGTATGTTACCTAGCTACTAGCTATTATTTCAATTGTACCTATGATTGAAGATAAAGTAGCGTATGTGCTGCAAAATCCTAGAGATATTGCGAAAACGCGGACAATTAGAAGACTTTTCTCAATCTTACTGAAAAAAATATTGCTTTTTTTTGCGAAAACGCTAGTTGCGTTAGTAACATTGAACATCCTTTACTCTGATTGACTTCATTT